TAGTATATTTATTATACTGGAAACAAACAGAAGTGGAAATTCAAGAATGACATAATTCATTATAAGTAGAGGAAAATGTGTCACCTTTATTACTAGAGCGTCTGCACAAATAGAAAAATATGTGAATATATATTCTTATGTTTATGTTAATATATACTTATATATTTGATATTAAACAGTGAGTCATTTAAAAGGTTATTGAAAATTAATGAACTGTAAGTTAAAACTAAAATGATATAAAATGCTGGATATGTAAAAACATGAGAAAATTATAACAGAATCTAGAAATACAGAATATGAAGTGAACCTATCTAGCACAAAATGAGAGCTCCAGATACACAATGTACACAGCCTTTTTGGGCACATGGCTGTATCTGCTTCCTAATACCTTATTAAGTATCAATTTTATTAAGTTATAATCTCAGCCAAAATACCCATCACCCCCTTTTATCAGACTCTGCTGAGAGCAGGAAACCTATCTCAGATCCTGATTTCAAGAAGTCAACAAGATCCCACAGTGTATTTATTAAAAGTATAAAAAGAAATTAAAACATTTTACTGCATATAAAAGCTGAAATAATTACTGTCAGCAGACATCCAGTACAAGAAATGCCAAGAGCAGCGAGTCGTGTAGAAGGAAAGCATTACCAGAGGGACATGGGGCGCATCTCTATGGAAAGAAGAGCACAAGGAACTGTAACTACCTGGACAAAATACATGGGTCAGGCTTGTTTTTGAACAAGGTGACAGGATCCCAGATCTTAAGTGTTTAAACTTTGTCAGCAGAATAGCAGTAGAGGTTAAGAATGAGCCAGCACAGTGATAATTTAAATGTGTTGATGTCAGAAATGCTAAAATCTGTCGCAATGTGTAACTTTAATTATCTGTCACTGACATGTGTTATATAGGCATTGGAGAAACTAGTCTAAAGAGAAACCTTGGGCCACAATAATATGAAGGAATCCTTACAGGCTACTGAATTCATTACAGTGAAGATTATACTAGAAAACAAAAGTCAACTTCATTTTAATGTCCTGAGAAATATAACTTCCTAAAAATGAAGACACTTTCATTCTTGACTTACGTAGTTACAGCAGCATAGTATTATTGGAGTTCTGCTGCTCTGTCCTGCAGTTACAGGATTTAAAATGACAGGAAATTTGATTTTAGGAATATCAAAAACTAAAGAACTGAGATAGAAAAATGCCTTCTATTTCAGAAAAGGAGCAGCAACCCAAATAATTAATTAATAGGCAGTAAAGGTTTTGTGGCATCAGACAAGCAACAACACACTTATTTTTCTTTTGGTACCAGGAATCGAACTCATGACCTTGTCCTTGCCAGGCAGGCACTTGTGCTGCTGAGCTAACTCCTCGGCCTGTGATGGCACATTTATCAACCTAAACTTTTTGGTTTCTTCTTTACTTGCGAAGCACCCACTGTGACTTGAGGACACGGCAGATGTTAACTGTGGCTCTTCATCCTGCAACACCTGACAACTCCTCCTGCAAAGGGAAACCTGTCTCCTGCCGCCACACCAGACTCGCTCACCGCTGCTCTTTTCCTAAAAGTCTTTTCTGCCTGCTGAAATTTCACATTTCCTTGTTAAGAAAATCAACCCAGAGCTTGTAAATAAAGCCTACAGAGAACATCACGCCCTCCTCGCCATCATACAGAGCAATGGTTAAGGCACTGACATGCTCTTGTGTTTGAGACCAGATGTTCACTGTTTTGCCCATATTTCTTCAAGAAGCCACATTTTAATTTATAAGTTGCTGCTGGTGAAGTCACAAATATTTCTACCTAGGGGCTGGGGATTTAGCTCAGCGGCATAAGCACCTTCCTTGCAAGCAGGCGGTCGTGAGTTTGATCCCTGGTACTGGTAAAAAGTTAAAAAAAAAAAAAAGAGCAAACAAATATTCCTATCTGGTATAAAAGGCAACATCAATCTGCAGTGGTTATGGTTCTATTTTCTTTGCAAAGACATTTACCAGTTTGGTGTCTAGCCCGAGAAGCTCATTCTAAAATATTCCTACTTCATAGTACTTACACATCCCCAGTTCTTCAAGATGCTTTTCATGACACTTTTATCATTTTCCCTGTCGTCTCGCTCGCTAATGGGTTGAATGAACTGTTTGACACGTGTTGCCTTTGTGTGTGCATCATGATTTAACTTTTAGAAAATGTTACGTCTCCTCTGGAAACTTCCCGTGGTTATTTACAGTGGACAACAGAATCTGAGCCCAGCCCACCCCACCACCTTTCGTTCGTCCCTACATCAAGGTAACATTGACATGACCACTCTCCAGAAACCTTCATGTCGTCTGGGTGCCTCTAAACCTACCTAGTGCGATGCTTGCTTCACAGTATCGCAAACTAGGTGCTTGCTTTAAAGTACTTGCTTTAAAGCAAGAGGACTCAAAGGGCTCAGATTTAGGATCAAGGTTAAGACTGCTTAAGCCTCTGGGGCTGCGGGATAGTATTGTTATTTCTGGTACACAGAGAGTCAAACTGACTTCCTTTGGGGGCTGGCCAGAGGACTTTTTATACGTATCTTGGTGTCTGTGGCAAGATGTAAGCAATTTCCAATAACAATAGCTAAAAGATCATTTTGAAGACTCCTGGTTAATAAAATGCTGGACATCGATCCTCTATACCTGGGCAGCCTGCATCTATTGTCTAGTGAACAGTACCATGATGTCATTTACTCACCCTGGGAGTCCTAGAGGGAAATTTGGTTCCTACCTAGTTTTATCTTTATGGCGATGGATAACACATGTCTCCAACTAGGCCAAGAAAGGGGCTAGGTTTTGATTCTTTGTGAGTAGTAGCACCTGAAATAGTGACCGTGGCCCTTTCATCTGCAGTCATGGGCCCTGAGACTGCAGACTGGGTGCTAACCCTTCAGTCCATGCGGAGGCCGTGCTTCCTGAGAGCCGGGTCTGCAGCTCTGGTTTCTATTCTGTGAGCTGTCCTCTGACTTCCAATTAATTCCTTTTTTTTCTTTTTGGCTTTTGCTAGACAGAGAACTCTAATGTTCTTATTCAAACCAAGCTGATACATTTGATGATTATACATGTCTTGCTTTTGGTTGGTTTTTCAAACAAAACAAAGTAATAGTAATAGCCGTTAAATAACATTTACTGAATGCAATGCTCTTGAGTTACCTGGACTTAATCCATTTAATCCTATATGAGGATTTGAAGAAATTGAGGGTCAGAAAGGTAAGTAACTTGACCCAGCTCACACACTAGTAAGTCAAGGTGCTGTGGTTCAAATCAAGACAGTTTGGTGAAAAATCCCGTGGTCTTCATTAAATTTCTCCTTGGTACTAAAGACACCCTGTTAAGATACTGAATTTCCTTTATCCTAAATGCATTTTTTTTCTAAGGCAACCCAGCAGTTGATTGAAGTTTTATGTTTGTTAAAACTTTGGCACGAAGAAGGACATTTTGTGTTTTCTGGGTCCTAAGTGACCCACCCATGAGCTGAGGGAGAGATTTCAGTCTTCTACCATGCTGATCCCTTTTGGAATCCTCAGTGATTGACTTTCGTAGATTTTCCTATGCTAGCTTTGTGTGAAAGATCTGCAAGAGCATCAGAAGCAAATTTAGGCTCTCTCGTTTGTGTCTTGGGAAGTCAATATAATGGGTAGCTGTAAATATAGCCCAAGCACTGATATTTAGTTTTCTGTTCTTTCCTCAAATCTGGAGTCTCTGCTTCCTTTGAATCACTGTTCTGCCCTTCTTGGTTGGTTTTTCTAGGAATCCCGTCTAGCTGAGTATAGAGCCAGCTGGAGAAGGGGTGGCCAACATAGCCATTCGATTTAGCATCTCCTCTACTGACCTGTTAATCTGACCCCATTTGGGTGAGGCTGTCTGAGCACCAGAACAGCTAGGGAACTCTTGACATATGTGTAAACTCCCACACCTACTCCAGGGCTTTAAGGAGTGGGGTTCAGGTATCGGATTCTGATGTCATATTTAGGATTCACTGGTGCAAAGAAGTGAATTCTGAGGACATTTGAGTTCTCTGATCCTTGCCTTAATCAAGACACTCCTGGGCATTGATTGCCCAATCTGTAATGTGGGAAAACAAGGCCAGCTGTGTCCACGTGCTTAGTTGTTGTGAGGATTATGCTGTGAAAAGCATTTTGTCAGGCTGTGTATTGCGATCTATGCTTGTAATCCCAGAACTCTGGGAAGTTGAGGCAGGAGACTTGAAAGCTCAGAACTGGCCTGGGCAAGTTAGTGACTTTGTGAGACCCCATCACAAAATGAAAACGAAAAGGGCTGGGGACGTGGGATGGTATGAAGGCCCTGTATTTCATTTCTAGCACTGTGAACCAAACCAAACCAAACCAAACCAAACCAAACCAAACCACTCCATCTTGTTAAAATTGTTAGGCTTTTTGGCATGGTGGGGTAGGAGGAGAGAGATATAGATAGATAGAGAGAGAGAGAAAGAGAGAGAGAGAGAGAGAGAGAGAGAGAGAGAGAGAGAGAGAGAGAAAGTCCTTTACTAGGGCCATGGACAGACTGCAGGAGAATGCAAGTACCCTCTGACCAGAACAAAGAAGTGGCTGATCGTTTCTGGGGTCTCTCAGCCACGTTGGACCAGCGCCATGATGACTCTGCAAATGTCATATGGGCAGAAACTTATCAAAAATGCTTTGTGATTTTCAATAAAATTCTAATTTCTAATCAGTGTTTTTAATTCTGTCAAGGAAGTGGAAGTTGCAATGTACAAGTGTTACAAAGACAGAATCCTCCCAGATACCGATTGCTTGGGACCTCTTTGGACAGACTCTGGTGGATCTGAATCTGAACTTAATTATAGAAGTCCATCTTGAAAACAGAACAGAATTCTCTGTGTCTCCCCTACCACAATTTTAGGCTTGTACAGTGAAGCCCAGCATTGTTTTAAAAAGCAGATCTTTTATTCTATAATTAAAATAAATGATTTGAAACATATTTTATGAGATTAGCAAGTTTACTTACCGACCCAATAGTCACGCTGTCTAAAACTTTCCTTCCTCTGTGGTCCGCACTGGAGAGTAGCTTTGGAAAAGGCTGAGTCATGTGCAGGAAACTGGTGTTCACCTCCTAGCAGCTAGGAGGCTGGGAAGGGATTTTTTCAAGTGGGTTGGAAAGTACGGATTAGAAACCCTAGAGGAATTATGCACACTTCCAAATCTCAAGCAGAGCCTGGTCTGACACTTTATTTGTATATGGGCAGCACTTCCTTCTTTCTTACAACAGATAAGCCAGCATTTTTTTAGGGGAAGTTAAACTAGCCTTGCTTGAGATTTTGCTTGAAGAACAAGCCTATGTTAAGTGTCTCATTTTATAGCTGGCTCTAATGGAGAAAGGAGAAAGAGGCAGAGAGAGAGAGAGAGAGAGAGAGAGAGAGAGAGAGAGAGAGAGAGAGAGAGAGAGACAGAGACAGAGAGAAAGAGAGGATGGGGGAGTGTAATTTGTAACAATCTATAAGTTGTGAACTTGATGTTTTCCAGTTGGTTGATTTAACTGAGTTTTATACAAATTATGATCCTGAGTCCCCAGAAAAGTGTAACATTCTCCAGGAAGTTATTCTTTTCAAGCTATCCACACTTCCCTGGGGGGAGGGGGAATGCCTGCATAAAAAAGTTGGCCCCTAGTTCTGCAGTTTACCTATTAGAAATCATGTATGTTAGATTTAAGGTCATAGATATTTTGGGATTCTAAATAGCAGACAGTCTTGACGGTTTTGGTCAACACTTGCAAAACAGCAGAATTGCAGGACGTGGAGCTCTGGCTAGTCCAGGCACAGAGGTGATATGGCCCTGCATGCTTCAGCCTCCCGCAGGCGTAGAACTTGCTATCTGCCACACCAGTGACATGCTCCAGATATCAGCATCAGTCCAACTGCAGACTCAGAGCGTCACAAACAAACTCACCTGAAACTGAAAATAACTCAGTTATGACTGGCTGGAGTTTAGCAGCAAAGGTTAAAAATGGTTCGTCAGTTTCATCTTTCTTAACTGACTTATACAGTCAGACATGGGCATTCGGGAAACAAGTGTGGCCATTTTGGCTTCTATTTTTCAGGAAGGAAGACAAGAAGGAAGGAGAAGAAAGAGCTATAGTAACTATATACTCTATATTTTTCAGCAAAATTCGCTACCAGGTTTTGCAACAGGAGAAAAATACCGTATATGGACAGACTTCATAAGCATTCTCTTCTTTAGAGAGAGGAGGAAGACTTTGTTTACCCCTGAGTGTTTCTGTAGGGCACCCAGTAGTGCCATGTGACTCACTTCAGCTTGAAAGCCAACGCTGGCATCTGGAGGCATCTGTGAGCCTGATACCAGTTCCCTCCCACACACTGGCTTCCAGCTTCCCCGCCAATGCCAAAGCAGTGCACGGGAACAGCTGGCTTCGCTCTTGACAGTGAGAGGAAAAAACGTAGCTGTTTTTCATTTTTTGTTGACACTGTGTATTTACAGTGGTATATTTAGACATTTTAGATGGCAAAGGCCTCTTAAATCAGAAATGCATTCCTTCATAATAAAAGTAAAGCGATTGAAAATGTACTCTTGGGGAGCTGGGAACCACAGCTCCTACTTTGCTGTAGAAAGCTCAGTTTTATAGTTTCATGACCTGTTCTTTCCTACTACAAAACACACACTTTGGGATTCCCTCGCCTCCATTTTCCTAAGTGATCCCGAGCATTTTCATCATCTATATTCATTCTATCTCTAGTAGGATGAGGAAGGAAGGCTCCGATGTTCTGGAAGGCTGACAAATCACATCTTTTAGAAAGTGTTTGGCCAGTGTCTGGGTAAAGGAAATTTCTATTTGAAGGATCCATTTGTTCTAGGACTTAAGCATGTATCACGTGAGTCGAACTCTGGAATTTGCTGTAGAGAGAGCTAGTTGTAACTACTTTGTTTAAATCGAGCCTAGTGAAAGACCCGTCTCTTAGAGACAGGAGCAGAAGGGCCAGATCAACCTGCTGGCAAGGTTCTAGGCTGTTCAGACCAGTCGAGCGTGCTTCTGGAAGCAGGAAGCAGAAAGCACCTGGCGGAAATGATAATGGCCTTACACAGTGTAAGGGTGTCATGAACTTTGACCTCCTGAGGCTCCATTTTGGCAAAGCTTTGCAAAAATCCAGTTATACATTGTACAAGTTTGTATGCTAATTAAAAGTCAAGAATATGGATTTTCATATCTGGGAGCAGATTGTAAGCTTAAAAATGAAGATTGTCTAGCATTTTATTTATTTATTTATTTATTTATTTATTTATCAGTACTGGGGATTGAACTCATGACCGCGCGCTTGCAAGGCAGGCGCTTATGCCACTGAGCTAAATCCCCAGCCCCCTAGCATTCTATTTATTATTACCCAGCATAATTAACATCCTTTTGCTGAGGACTGAAATGTCATATTTCTCAATGGTGACATCTAGGGCATTTTGAGTTTTGTTGTGTGTATATGGCATACCTGTGCATTTGTATGTGTACGTGTATATGTGTGTACATGCATATATTTGCAGTTCAAAGATATTTAAAATTATTGTTTACCCATAGCTGAATGAAAGTTTTCTTTTACAGTCATCATCCATAACTAAAAGATACTTTGGTAACCTTGATCACAAATCAGTATATTTTAAACGAGGGCTTTGATATATTCTTGGTTTTACTTATGAAATGGGTCTGTTCTTTACTGAAGCATGTGTAACACTATGTAATCTTGGGCAAATGAGTTAAACTTGTATACTAATTTCTTTTCATAAGAGAGAATTTGTAATACCTATGGATTAAGTATGTGCAATGTTTTGATTTTTTTGAAGAAAAAAGTATGTATGATTTTAAGTCACTTGAAACTTAGTTGCCTAATAAATGCTATGGATTTCCTCTCTGAGCTTCTTTCCCTCTCTCCCTAAGATCTACAGAAGCACAAAATATAAAGTCTTTGGTTGTAGATAGCATAGTTTCCTTCTTCAAGTAAAGCAGTAACTTTATTTTAGCGAGTTGCTGCCATGTATTAGGCTTCTTCAACTCTATGCTTCATCAATGATAATGTAACTTCAGATTCACTGAGAACAACTCATGTTTGGGAATACAATGTTTTAGTTAATGCACTGTGCCTGTACGCTTAATATTTTTCCAAGCTTTTGGGGCTTTCCTTTCTGTTAACATACAAATAAGAATTGTACAGCCTTACATTTACCTTCATAAGAAATTTCTCTTTGGGAGAGTTTTGATAGTTCCTTGAGTTTTGCCCATTTTCTCATCATTTGTCTGTTCTTGGCTGTCACTGGTCATGTGATAACATGTATTGATGCTTTTCCTCCTTAAGGTCTTAAAGGAGTATTAAGGCAGGTGCACACTAAGTCACTCTTAAGAGTCCTTCCCCATGCTACATGTGGAGGTGTTTCTAGTTGTTTTTTTCTCCCCTGGAGTCCTGCTGCTAGTCTGCTGATCAGCTCAGCTCTTCTTTAGATTTAACATTTTCCCCTGCCTTATTTCTCTAAGTTCCTAGGCCTCAATTTACCATTATTTTGCCCAAGTGCTCAGAATAAATCAGATACTTAGACCTTGTTTGAGTTACTTTCTTATTGCTGGAATAAAATATTGGACACCTAGACATTTCAGTCCATAGTCAGCTAGGCAGAGCGGCATGGCAGAGGGGCATGGCAGAAGGGCATGGCAGAGGGACATGGCGGAGGGGCACGGCAGAGGGGCATGGCAGAGGAGAAATGGTCCATGGTGTGGCAGGCAAGAGGCAGCAGGTAACAAGCCTTCCTTTCCCTTTTACTGCTTTCAAGCTACAAGCCTATTGGTTGTTGCCATTCACATCCGGAATCCCATTATCCACACCCAGAGCTAAACTGAATCAATTGGTGGACTAATTTAGATATCACACACCCTTTATGCATGTTGACACACTGTAGATCCAGCCACTCCCGAAAGCCCTGCTTTGAGTTTAGTATCAGAGCTTGAGTGGCTGACGTGAGTTTAGTATCAAAGATAAAAACATTTTGTCAGTTTCATCTTTTGAGTTAAGATACAGTTAAAATGTGGGACATCTAGGTACAAACCATAACAAACCTAGATAAAAACCATCTCAATTTTTTCCCTTAGAGTTATGACCTGAAATATTTCCAAGGGCCAGTTGCAAAAATCTTGATACTACTTGTGAATCTCATTAAATGACAGATTTTAGTCACTATTTCTATGCCATAGTTTCTGCCATAATTTGGGCTTGATTGAAAAGGTGAGGTTGGAAGTCATAGGAGAAGCAGCTGTATAAAAGAGATAGAAAATGATCTATATAGTTATAGGAACACAAATTCTATTCTACTCTAACATCTTTTTAATATTAAAAAGTCATACACATTACCACTAAAGTATCCTTATTTAGTCATGTAAATTTAGTATTAAAATTTAAAATTAGCCAGTATAATTTGACCTCTAATTTTACATGGAAAGTTTGACAGATAGTAAAAACAAAAACAAAACAAAACAAAAAACCTTGAGTTCTCATTGTAGTTCTTTTTTCCCTGCATAAATTTCTTAGTCTTTTGATAAAATTATTTTTGGAGAAAGGAAGATAGGCACTAAAATTATTAAATATTTTAGTAACAGGTAAATATATGTGATGCTAAAAGAACTGATTCAATTACTAATATATTTGTGAAGAGATTATATAAATTTGACTTCACTGCGATCATTCATTCTTTCATTAGAAATGTTAGACAGTTTGTCACTTCCTTTTTTTTGATATATGATTATAATAATTTCCCTACTTGAGGTCATAAAAAATAAAGACCTAGATTGTAAGTTTAAGTCACAACATAGACATACTCAATGTTCCTTTCATGCTTAAGTTATCAGAGAAACTCAGGAGGCTCTTAGATTTCACTCTGCACTTCAGGCAGGTCAAGAGGGCACCAAAGGCATAAGGCTGTCCCTCTAGATGCCCACTCACTGCTTCTCAGAGCCACACATGCATAGTCTGGGTGTGGGGTGCAGGGTACCCCCACCTCAGTACTGTGCAGAGTACAGAGTATGTGGGGAGACTGAGGAGGAGAAGGAAAGGCTGAATTTCTTCATAACGATTGATTTTGCTGTGATTTTTTTTCTTGTGCATTTGATTGTTGGTTATGGTATTGGGGTTCTATAATCAATTTCATTTAAAAAATTCAATCATTACTATTTGTAGGTAATAAGCATCAACTAATTTTTATATG